CTCAACATGCTTCTTGTACAGATGGGGAAAATAAGGCCCAGAAAGAGGACTTGAGGAGATAGGCTTCACATAGCAAGTTACAGACAGGGAATCTCCACTGGCAGAACTGGGAAGTGGGATAGAGTGGGACTTAGCCCAAGACAAAGAGTAAAGGGCCATTTTCCTGCCCTGGCTGGTTGCTGATCTTGTGGAGGGGTCGTGGAGGGGAGTGAAGGAAGAAGGGGAGGCATGTTCCTACCAATTAGACCAACCTAATTCCCATTACCCCAACACACTGAGCCTCCCCCATACCCTCACAGCAACTCTGGGGTCCTGGCCAGTGAGCTAGTCTCACTAGCTAGTCTCTGACCCAGGGACCAGTTGGCTGGCTCTGTCATGGGATGGGAGGGAAGGTTGCAGGCCTTCCAGGTGGGGAGGGCTAAGGCAGACAGACAGGCTGCAGAAGTCACTTTGCACAGGTGCAGAAGGTGAGTAGGCAGGGGAAGAGGAGGGGTGGAGACAGGAGGTGGGCCATTTACCCATAGATGCCTCACTGGGCTCCTCTTGTGTCTAGATCTCCTGCTTGCTTAATGCCATAAGAACACCAGATCCTTAAGAATCCCAGCTCATAACATATATATAGGTAGGTTACGGGGAGGGCAATATATCAGAAAAGACAAGTAATGACTTTCTAACATCTTACTATGCTGATGGACAGTGACTGCAATGGGTTGTGTGTCGGGGACTTGATACTATAGGTGAATGTCAAAACTACAATGTTGCTCATGTGAAACCTTCATAAGATTGTATGTATATCAATGATACCTTAATAAAAAAAAAGAAAAAAATAACAATGACCACCAAAAAAAAAAATCCCAGCTTGTAAAACTGAGGATTCAGTTTTTGTTGAGCACCTATTTTTGCCCTGGTCTAGAGTTCTTTTTTTTTAATGTCTAAGTCATAACTCTGCCCCAAATTCCCTATAAGCAAACATTTGTATGCTCTAGTGTATGCAAAAGGAATTAAAAACAAATTCATTTGCTTGATATCCTAATTAATACCCTTTCCTGAACATGACTGTTTACTGAGAGCAGGGGACCAAGTGATGAAACTCACCCAGTCACTGACAGGTCAGCAGGGGGGTGACATGGAGATAACACGAGGTCAGAGCTCCATTGTCTAGAAGTGTGAACACGGTTATGGTCGATGGTGAGCAGGCTGTAAAGGTAGGTTTATCTGCAGGAAACACATGGAAGAGCCCAACTGGGCACTTGAGAAGAGTTTAAAGAAGGTGCTATTTAGAGATGTAGTCGGGGGGGTAGGGAAACCACAGGGATAGCCTATCACCAAAGGGCGAGAACAGCCCTCCACTGTCTACCCTGGGCTGATGCTGTCACCCTTAGCTGAGGGGTGCCGGGAAGGAGTGGTAAAAGTGGGAGCTTCGAGGAGGGACACACCCAGCCCACAGCAATCATACTGTAAGGAGCGGGGCTAAAAAAGGGCCTTATTCCTTCCCTCCCTCCAATCTCTGGCCAGGTTTCCCTGTTTGCCCGTTCCAACCAGAAGCCAGGGACAAAGCAACCTGTTGATGTAGCCTGTAGACTAGGCCTCCTGGAGCCTATAGCTGGATGGACGAGGGTGGAGAGTGTATCTTGAGGGGCAAGGGAGGCAGGCTACTGGCACATGGGCTTGGGGACGTTGACTTCACAAAGGAAACAGAACTGCTCCTGCTTTCCTTATCGTTAAGTTCTAAATATTCATAATTTCAGTGTCATTTCCTCTTTAACTCATGGATGATTTAGAAGTGTGGTTTTTAGTGTCCTAACCCATGAGAGGTTTATATTTTTCTTGTTGACTTCTAATTATATTACTTTGTGGTCAAAGATCATGGTCTGTAAGATTCTTTGGAATGTGATGCGACTCTCTCTGTGGCTTTGTACATGGTCATTTGCTTTACCTCCGAGCTGGGTTTTATAGGATGGGCAAGAGTTTGGTAATGAGTGAAAAGCACAGACTCTTATGTTGGGGAAAATATAGATGATCCATTTTGAAAGACCTTTGAAGTTCCTAGCACCTTCACAGAGCCCCCAGGTGTCTGCCTCAATACAAGCTGACAGGCTGGCTGGTGGGATGGAAGGCAATGGAAGGACTGGGAGAAACCAGAGATAACCCAGATCCCTCAAACACCTGTATCCCCTTCCTGAAGCATTCAGTCTGGATTATGTTGGATGGCAAACTCGTAGAGAGCTTCCCAGGAGCAATCTGAAGCTGGCGCCGCTATGTGAACAGTAGGGAGAGACTGAAAAAAAAGGCAGACCACTCCTGAGTGGCAGGTGGCGGGTTTAATAAATAAGGGAACGTAGATGTGCACCTTGTCTTGGGTGGTCACAAGATGAGTAGATCTCTGTACCTTACCATCAAATCTTAGACGTTTATAAAGATGCCTTAACTGGGTTCAACCACATCCAGATAGTCTCAACACCACACCACTATCTGGTGGCTGTGTCCTTGGGGCAGCCTCTGGGAGCCAGGAAGGCAAAGGAGCCCACATTCTGAGGCCAGGGGAAGTGGGGGGGGGAGTCTCTAATTGCTTGGGTCCAGCTCATGTGTCAACTGGTAGTCATTTCTTGGTGTTTCCCACAACAGGCTGGAGAGGTCAGGTTCTCCCAGGAGGCTCTGCTGGGACTGAGAAGACCCAGACCTCGGAGAACAAGATCCTGGCTTTACCATATATTAGTTGTGTGACCTTAGGTTACTCCTGCCTTCTCGGATGGCATGCTTAACCCTATAGCACTGCATGCCTACACAGGGCAAGCCCTGTTCCATGCCACTCTGTCCTGCATATAAGTGACTCAAATAAGGCCTTGTCTCTGAAGCTTGGCGGGAGCCAGCAAGGACCTAGCTGAGGATAAACCCTCTTCCAGTGCACAGCCTGGCACATGACTCCTTGATGGGAGCTCCAATTGGCAGCTGGGTGGTGCTCAGACCTGGGCTCCTGCACTGCTGTGTATCTCTGGGAAAGCCTCTTCCCTACTCTGGGCCTCAGCTTCCCCATCTGCACCACAAAAGTTTCTTCCAGCCATACTATTCCAAGTGCCTAATTGGGACCAGCTTCCCGCCTCTGTCCCTGTAGGCCTGTATCCAGTGATTCTGCTGACCCAGAGTGACCTGTCTCTGGGAACTCCACAGCACCTCCTATGCCAGGAAAGGGCCCCCATCCCCACATTCCTCCCAGAATGAACTACAGTGCCCTAGCTCTCCCCACCAGATTTCTGGCAGCTCCTCTAGCCTGATGGGGCCTACCTTCTCCTCACTCTCTCAAGAAAAAGTTTCTATTTCTACTTTTGCCCCTCCATTCCCAGAAGGCAGGATCTCCCATCTTGTGTCTTTCACCCTTGCACATTGAGGAAAAAACAAAGGACACCCTCATGGAGGTAAGAGAAATTGAGGTTAGATATTCTTTCGCTTGAAGAAGAAAAGGTTCAAGGGAATGTGACAGGGGAAGACAAGGTTGAAAAGGATGTACATTAACATTCTGTGCGACCTTGGACAAGGCATTTATTCTCTCTGAGCCCATGCCTCCTTCTGTAAAATAAGAACAACTATATGTGCCTCACAGAAGAGCTGTGAAGATCAGACGTGATGGCCCTTGTACATGCAGAAGGCTTGGTGTTCCTTTGGCTCTGGGGGGCAGCGGGCAGAGCCTCAGGACAATATGAGATGCTTGGCACATCAGAGCTGTCCATGCAGCCTGGGTGGCTGAACTCACTTCCGAGAGGGAAGCGTGCAGGCAAAAGTGGCACAGATCCCGGGACACAGGCTTCAGAGAGTTTCAGTCCCTGTGAAAAGCAGGAGAGTCCTCTTGACCCTGAGAACCACAGATTCAGGTGTCTGGGCTCCAAGGTCCTCCTCCTTCCCGGCTCCCTGCCCACCCCTTCATTTGGAGGCATACCCCTCACCTCTCCAGCTTTCAGGTCTTCCATCTTGGGAAGGAGACCTCTGGAGGCTGTGCTGGACTCCTGGTGTGCATA